GGATATTGAAACAGGTCTGACTCCATCCTGAGCTGCAACCTCTGGATCCCCAAAGGCTGGATGGGATTTAATTCCGTTAGAGCCGGCGGATGACGGTGACACTCAGTAACTTGGCTGATCTTTTTTAGCYGCCGGAACTTGTTCATCACTTCCCAAGAAATGCTCTTGCTCAATCCTCAGCTTTGAGGGAAACAGCCCATGAAAAATAGCTGCTGTTATTTTGGGGTTATTTTGGAGTTATTTGAGGGTATCAGCTCCATTTTCATTTCCCCCCCTGCAATGAGAATATTCTCTGAAGGCGTCCAAAGTCAGAGAGGATCCCGGGGTCCTGCTGTGCCTGGTGCTGAATGTCCTGTTAGGGAGAGGAATCAGCTTTCCCTGCAGAGCTCCTGGTGATGATTCCCACCTGTGCCGAGGGCTGAGCAAGCCACAGGATTTCCACAGCGCTGGATTTTCCTCCCTCCCCCAAATCCAAAATTGAGTGTCTTTCTCAACTGAAAAAGAGAAACAACTCTGCCACTGCGAGTGCAGTGAAGAGCTTCTGGTGTGGGATTGAAATAGGCTCCAGGTGGGAGGTGAGAAATACTCCCTCAATGCACAGCTGAGAAACTGAGGCACGGAGGGGTTGGAGAATTCACTCCGCCACKGAGCTATACCTGGAGTCTGACTAAGGCAGTGACAGGAATAGGGATGGTGTTCTCCAGAGTTAGAGCACTAAATCCATCCTGGGAAAGCAGGACTCCGTTCCAATCCTTCCCCCTGCCTCCCTGGATGGCGTTGGCGGAGGATTTGTCTCTATCCTGGAGGGGGAACCCTCACTGGATGCTATTTTGGCTTGGTGAGGAGATGAGAGGGGATCCCTGATTTCTGGGAATGGGGTATCCCTGTTCTTCTGGAAGGATGTGAGCCTCAGGGCTGTGGGGGTGCCAGGGGAGAAGGGGAGGATGAGCTGGAGCCAGAGCTTTTGTTGTTCAACTCATTCCCCAATTGCTGAGAGTCAGGACAAGGGGAAACRGCCTCAAGTTGTGCTGGGGAGGTTCAGGYYGGATATCAGGGAAAATTTCTACCCCCAGACATGGTCAGGCACTGTCACAGTCTCACGGGCAGTGGTGGAGTCCCCATCACTGGAGGGATTTAAAAACCATATGGATGTGGCACTTGGGGACATGGGCTAGCAGTGGCCTTGGCAGAGTTAGGTGGACAGTTGGACTCCATCATCTCAGGGGGCTTTTCCAACCTAAACAAGCCCATGATTCTGTGATTCTGTAATTCTATGGTTCTGTGATTCTGTGATTTTGTGGTTCTGTGATTCTGTGATTCTGTGATTCTGTGGTTCTGTGATTTTGTGATTCTGTGGGTCTGTGGTTCTGTAATTCTGTGGTTCTGTGATTCTCTGATTCTGTGATTCTGTGATTCTGTGGTTGCACCCAGTTAATCTCACAAGGCTGGGTTGATGCTGTGCTGTGTTTGCTGCCAACAGCCCTGCAGTGCTGCCTGTGATTGGTGACCTGATGACCTCGAGCCTTTCTCCACAACATTTGTCCGTTCTGAGCGGCACAGCAGGGCTTGTGTTCCCGACAGGACAAGCCTGGAGGRAGTCAAAGCCTTGCTGGAGCAGGTGGGGTTTGCTGTGAGAGGCCAGACAATGCATTTGCAGTGCATTAAGGTATTACTGTAACGGCGCTGGCTCCGAGTGGTTTCTGATCCCRAGAAATAAAGATGAGCAGATTTGTCCCAGATTTATCAATGGAGGCAGAGTTCCCATTGAAATGGGAGGGAGGGGAGGGYGGCTCACAGCCAGGCTGGATTCTGTATGCTCTGTCCAGCTGCTGGCGCTACCAGGGGAGCTCTGAGGGGAGAAGGACACCCCCAAAACACTGCTTGAGAGGCGCTGGGATTCATTGAGAAGGAAGGACAATTTCAAGGTGGATGAGGCAGCCCTGTGACTGGGGGTGACTGAGGGATGGGGTGAAGGTCCCACGCGTTTTGTGCAGCTCCTGCCCCCCARGGGAAGGATTCTGTGGGAATTCCGTTTGTGGTCTGGTTCTGGCTGTGGGAAAAGGGAAGCTGCRTGTCCCCTCTTCTTGGAAATCTGCCCTGGGAGGGCCATTAAGGGAGGAGAAGAGTGGTGCTTGCTCTGCTTCCTCACAGAAACGGCATGTGCCGTTCCCGCAGCCTGTGCAGGATCAGTGCACAGGGGGATTTCTTAAATGGCCGTTAGGWGCAAAATTAGATTTGTTGAGACCAGATGCAGCAGAAGAGATGGCTGGAAAAGCAGAAGGAAATGTGCAGAGGGAACACTGGGACATCTCGCATTAGACAGCAAACCACAGCCTGGAGGAAATGGTTTGGGGCTGCACCGAGCTCCCAGCTCACCCAGGAAAGCTTTGGCCGGGTTGGACATCACAGAAACGTCCCTTCCACTGGGCTTTTGTCCCCCTGCCCTGCAGGTTTGAACGCAGGACCTGGACCACCTCTGTTTCTGCCTGACAAATTCTGGGCTCGCTGCTCCTTCCTGGTGCAAACCCCACTGGGGAGCACATGGAGGGCTGGCGGGGGCTCACAGGGCGGCGATGCCGCTGCTGCATCCCCAAAGCTGGGCTGGGGACCCRGGGGAAGGCAGGAGAAGACAGGGAAGGGCTGGGGGAGGATCTGCCCCCGAGCTGCTCGCTGCCTGCGGCGCTGCTGCTCGCCTGGCACAGCCTAATTGGCTTTGATAGGATTACAGGGAAGCAGGAGGAGTAAACAGGGCCAGGAGGCCACGGCTTGCCGGCTCCCGGAGAAATCCCAGCGCGACTCCCGAGCAGAGCAGCCGCAGCTCAAGGGTTAATGTCTGCCGCCGTGCTGCAGCCATGGGGTAAGGGCTTAATCCTGCTGCTTCTAAAGGAAAGGCTTTTCCAAGCACCATCCCAAAATCTGCGGCTCTCTCGGTAATTCCCGATGAATTTGGCCCTGACAGATCCGGAGTAAATTATTGCAATTATGGCAGTTGCACCTTGTGCCTCGAGTCTCGTGTCCTCAATAAATGTTTACGGTTTGAGGCAGCCTCGTTTGTTTGCCTTAGACCAGACGACACTGATTTATTGGCAGAAATCCTAGCAGGGAAAAGGGATGAGCCAGACAAGTTTTTAGCTGCTACACACAATATATGTGGCGAGGGGATAATGGTTATTTCATTTTAAACCTCAAACTTGGGTGCAAACTGTTGCTTCCAGGAAATTTTCCTGACTGACAAGCAACCAGGGGAGCACAAGGGTTAATGGGTTTGCTTCCTGCCTTGTCTGGGTTTTGGGGTGGCTGGGAGATGCTGTGGGGTGGCAGGGAGGATGCCCTCACTGGGAGAACCACGAACTGTGGCAGGAATGGTGGGGGAGCAGCTCCCCAACTCCCTCCTCCCAGGAGATCCTTCAAAAAAAAAAAACAGGTCTCAAATGTGCGGCTTGGAGCCAAGGATGGAGGTGGCCACAAGAGACTGGGGTGGGTGACATGGCCTGGAGATGACTGTCCCTGCATGGGGACATGTCCRCCTTCTCACCCACACCTTGCTGGGACTCCTTCCCTCAGAATCCTCCTGGGTTTTTGGTGGCCGAGGGTGTTTCCCCTCTGTCAGCAGAGAGGTCGGTGGGTTTGGCTCAKCCAGGCTCCATCCTCCCTGTTTGTCTCCCATTGCCAGTCCAGAGTCAGCTCTCTGACATTTATTGTCGTTCCTTCCCCAGATCTGAGTATTTTGGACAGCTTGTTTCTGATTTAAAAAGTATAAATAAGTTTGATCTTTTCATCTGTTGTTCTCCCTACCTTCTGGAGGCTGTGCTGGTTAAAAATAACTGGGATGAGGAGCGCAAGTGGGGATGGTGGAGGGGTTTTCACCTCCATCACAGTGGGACCACCTGTCTGGCTCCAGAAGGGAACGTGGTCTCTCTCCTCTCCCTCTCCCTCTCCCTCTCCCTCTCCCTCTCTCTCTCCTCTCCTCGTTGAGCTTTTGCTCCAGTGCAAGGTGTCCCTGCCAACGGCAGGGAGGTGGAATGAAATGAACTTTAAAGTCCCTTTCAACCCAACCCATCCCATTAGTTTTTCCCAAGCCAGGAGCTCCCTGAATTACCTAAATCCCCCTTGGCATGTGGCTGGGGATTAAAGCCCTTCTGCTGTTGAAGGGGTTTGGAAAACTGGGGATCTGGGGGTGCAGAGATCAGAGGTTGTCCCCGATGCACATCTCCTGTGGTTGGGGAGTTTCCCAGCACTGGGCTCCTCCAGAGAAGGTTTTTGCCTGAAAARGTCCCTTTTGCTCATAACTGAACAATTTGCTTGAGAAGATCAATTGAAGGGACAAAGAAAGAGAAAGAAATCAAAGGGGTTTGTCCTTCTTGATGGAAAATCTGAAATGCAGGTTTGGGTTCAGCCTGAAGCCTCCTTGGCAGAGCCTGGCTCAGCTTGGCTTCGGGTTTATTTTGGTGGGGGGAGGCACACGCTGACACACGTGTGCACACACGCTGCTGGACACACAMGCATGCACACGCTCTCCTAGACAGAGAAAAACAATCCCCAGCCTAACCCAGACGCTGATTCAAAACAACTGTTGGTTCTGGCCACGCTGCCGGCTTTGCGCTGCCCTCAGCCTCCCACCGTGCGAAACCCTGACTGAAAACCAACAGGCAAACCCCAAATTCAGAGTCAAAATCGCGTTTCACCTGGGGAAGGGGCAGAGAAACTCTTTCTAGGCAGCGGTTCTGCCAGGAAAAACACCCCTCTSCCTGCCTGCAGCTCSCTGAGCAGCAAAGGATGCTCCCGGGAGGAGACTGAAGCCCCTCGGCGCTGGCTGGGGGATGGATGGGGCTCCCCCAGGCAGGGGCAGGGGAGGGGGTGCCCGCAGCTGACGGGGGGCTCCGGGGCAGGGCCGGGGGGCTGGTGGGTGTCTCCGGGAGCGGTGACTGAGTGAGGCGGTGCCAGGGCTGGGGGCGGATTTTTTGAGAAGAGCCTCAGCTCTTCAGAGCAGCGGCAGCCGCTGGAGGAGTTGGGCGGCTGTTTCTCCCTCTCCGCCCGGAGGAGGAGGAAGAGGAGGAAGAAGAGGCTTCGGCTGCCGCCTCTCCGATCCTCCCCCCCTCCCCCCTTCCCCTTCCGCCCCACACCTTTATGGACGAGCGCCGGAGCTTGCTCTACTCTCCGGCCGCCTCCTCCGCCGGCCGGCAGCCGCGGGGCGGCTCGAGCAGCAGCCACCACAACCTGGGCTACAGCGAGCAGCTGCCCCCCGCCGCCCCCCAGCCGGCCCCCGAGCAGCAGGACCAGGAGGGCGAAGAAGGCGGGGAMGGCAGCATGACCGTGGTGGGAGGCGGCGGCGGCGGAGACCCTTTGCTGGAGGAAGCCCAGCATCCTCCCGCGCTGCTCGGCGGGGACCGCTACGATCAGCCCCCGGCGCCGGCCGTGCCCGCCGGGCAGCCCGCGGGCGGAGGGGAGCACGAGTGCTGCGAGCGCGTGGTGATCAACATCTCGGGGCTRCGCTTCGAGACGCAGCTCAAAACCCTGGCGCAGTTCCCCGAGACGCTGCTGGGGGACCCCCGCAAGAGGATGCGCTACTTCGACCCCCTCCGCAATGAGTATTTTTTCGACCGGAACCGTCCCAGCTTCGACGCCATCCTCTACTACTACCAGTCGGGTGGGCGCATCCGGCGGCCCGTCAACGTCCCCATCGACATCTTCACCGAGGAGATCCGCTTCTACCAGCTGGGCGAGGAGGCCATGGAGAAGTTTCGGGAGGACGAGGGGTTCATTCGGGAGGAGCAGCGGCCGCTTCCTGAGAAGGAGTTCCAGCGCCAAGTGTGGCTCCTCTTCGAGTACCCCGAGAGCTCTGGGCCGGCCCGAGGCATTGCCATTGTCTCTGTGCTGGTCATCCTTATCTCTATCGTTATCTTCTGTTTGGAGACCCTGCCTGAATTCAGGGATGACCAYGACTATGAGGGGACCGGGGGGACCTTCGGGACGGGCGGTGGCCCTCTCTCTCCTGATGGCTTCACCAACTCGTCATCCTCGGCTGCTTCCATGGTGTCATCCTTCACCGACCCTTTCTTTGTGGTGGAGACTTTGTGCATCATCTGGTTCTCCTTCGAGCTACTGGTCCGTTTCTTTGCCTGCCCCAGCAAGGCCACCTTCTCCAAGAACATCATGAACATCATTGACATTGTGGCCATCATCCCCTACTTCATCACGCTGGGCACGGAGCTGGCCGAGCGGCAGGGCAAYGGCCAGCAGGCCATGTCCTTGGCCATCCTCAGAGTCATCCGCCTCGTCAGGGTCTTCCGCATCTTCAAGCTCTCCCGGCACTCCAAGGGGCTGCAGATCCTGGGCCAGACCCTCAAGGCCAGCATGAGGGAGCTGGGCTTGCTCATCTTCTTCCTCTTCATCGGYGTCATCCTCTTCTCCAGCGCYGTCTACTTCGCCGAGGCCGAYGACCCCAGCTCGGGGTTCAGCAGCATCCCCGACGCTTTCTGGTGGGCCGTGGTGACCATGACCACCGTGGGCTAYGGGGACATGCACCCCATCACCATTGGGGGCAAGATCGTGGGGTCTCTGTGTGCCATCGCRGGGGTGCTGACCATCGCCCTCCCCGTGCCCGTCATCGTCTCCAATTTCAACTATTTCTACCACCGCGAGACAGAGGGTGAGGAACAAGCCCAGTACATGCACGTCGGGAGCTGCCAGCACCTCTCGTCCAGCGAGGAGATGAAGAAGGCTCGCAGCAATTCCACCCTCAGCAAGTCCGAGTACATGGTGATCGAGGAAGGGGGAGTCAACCACAGTGCATTCAAACAGGCTGCCTTTAAAGCAGGCAACTGCACAACCACAAACAATCCCAACTGTGTGAACATCAAAAAGGTCTTTACGGATGTTTAGAGCGATCCCAAAGCAAACGAACGGCAGCAAACTCCGAGGATGCGGTAAAACGATACCAATAATGATACCAATAATAATGCAAAGTGACTGTGTGTCGGTGTTGTGTGGAACATRCACCATCGTCGGTCTGTGTGTGCGCCCTCGTTTTTATACCTTTATTTTTTTAGATCCTTCCTTTCTAAAGATCCAAAAGTAAAAGGATTTAAAATTCTCCGGAGAAGAGGACAGCTTAAGGGTAAAGGAGAAGGAAGATGAAGACAAACCACACTCGCTGTCAAAACAGGTGTTTTTTTTCTGCAACRTGTTGCAGGGCTGCTTTGCTTTTTGGGGTTTTTGGGGAACCTCTCGCTTTGCTCCTGAATTCCACCCTCTTTCCCTAAGGGCAGCGTGCAGCCGATTTCCCTTCCATCACATAAGATCACTTGTTGGATTAACAAGMCCGGGTTGGGTGGAGGAACGAGGAAAAGATGAGGCAGAGCGTACTGGGAGGGGGCTGGGAGGAAATAACCGTTTAATTTTGCAGAGAGTCTCTGTTACCACATCGTTAAATGATGCTTAATATTGAAACATGTGATGTACCATTACGGGCACATCCCAGATTCCCTTTTTCTCCCCATTAGATCATTTATGAAATTCTAATCTGGTCGGAGACCGAGTGCAATCAATGCTGATTTAAACAGGAAAAAAACCCTCCCAAAGCCCTCGTTTTTCATTCTGAATTCCCTTCCCCTGTAACCGGACGGAATTATTCCCTCCGGTGTCAAGTTTGTGGCCGTGCAGCGGGGCTGTGWGCGGGAGGAGGGAGAGGAAAGGCAGCCTGGAATGGTTTCGGGAGCCGCCGGCGCAGGGAGCGGTGCCGGCTCGGAGCTGGATCCGCGGCGAGCTCCTCGTCCCACCCAGCCGCAGACAAAGGGATATTTCCTCCTCTTTTCGCAATGCCTTTGGAAGAGATGCAGCCGCTTATCGCCAGAAGATTAAAGTGGCGAACACGCCTTCCAGCGGAAGTCACTAATTCCGACCGGAGTGATGCAGTTGCCATGGCGACCACGGTTTCCTGGGAAACCCCCAAAGGTTGTCATGGCATCCCTTCTCCCCATCCCCCTTGGTCCTCGCTCTTCCCGCAAAAAATCCTTTCCAGATGGTTCCAGCTCCTCCATCCCACAGGACGTCGTGGCTCCCAGTCCCCGTCCCGCCGCTCCTCCCGTGTTCCCAACAAAGCATCCACGGGCAATAAKCACCCCCAGATCCACCTGTCCCTCGCTGAGGAGCTCACCACACCTTGGCAGTGAATTTGGGGGATGGAGGTTCATCCTGCTCCATCGAGAACGACCCCAAACCCAAACCCGGTGAGAGCTGGCACCGAGTTCGGTGAACAAGTGGGACAGTAAAAAACAGGATCGTGAAATAACCAAAAATCCCRCCGGGAAAAACCACCGGCTTCATCTTCACGTGTGCGCCAGGGGCCAYGGGACATCTGATGGGATCAGGTGAGCTTTGCACGGGGGAAGAGTTCAATGGAGTCATAAAGTAATGTTGGGGGTTTTTTTGGGACAAACCCCATGCTTTGCACTGCTTACTTTTATTCTCCAGCTGATCCTGCCGCTCCTGGGTATTTTTATACATGTAGGATAAAGTGGGATCACATCCTATAGCTCCTCTGATTGTTTCTGCTTTTTAGTGCTGTAGGAGGAGGAAAACCCTGCTGTTTCTTTGCAGCTGGATTGCTTCATTTCTGTGCCAAAAAGGTGATTTCAGTGGTTTAGTGCTTCCATCCAGCCCCTGCCGTTGACACAGGCCAAAGGCAGCTTGGCCTCGAGGGCTTTGGCTCCAGTTCTGCTCAGTTTTGCTGGATTTTGGGTTAAAAAAGCCAAATTCCTTCAAGGTAATGCATGGAAAAGGGATTCTGTTAAATACCTACAGCAAAGGGGGATTTGGGTCCAAGCTGTTCAAGTCACACATTTCCCAGGGCTGTGGAGAGGGGAGCTTGTCCTGAGAGATGCCAGCCATGCCAGAATCGGGATATTGGCTGGGATTTTACCCAGACTGAGCAGGGTCTGGATGGTTTGTAGCACACTCCCTTAGCCCYAGCCAATAAACCCAGGAAAACCATCAGAGCCACTCCTTGGCTGCTGGGGTGTGATGGTTTTATCAGAGCTACCAGAGTTTTCACCAGCTGAGGGTCTAACAGGTGATTTTATCAGGGAGATGCTCTGGAACATCAAGAGAAATTGCAAACTTGAGAKCCCTTGTCCAGGATTACTGGGATTCCTTGTCTGGGATAACTGGGAACACCCCAGTGTGCCGTTCCCCCAGGCTGCCACTGGGCTGAAATGTTATTTGTCTCTAGGAGCTCTCACTTTTTATTGTTATTCTCTTTCATTATTCTCTTTCATTATTCTCTTTTATTGTTACTAAAACTTACGCCTATTCCTCAAAGGAGAGTTTGAATTTGAGAGCAGTAGAAACACCTCACTCAGGAGAGTTTGCAGATGAATTTTGGGTGATTTCCCCGAGGCAGCTGCACAGGGTACGGAAACCACAYGTTCTCCTGGAAATGACACAGAACGATTTTCAGTTTCTCTGTCATCTAAAAWAAGCTGAGACCATGCAGGCTGTTGGTTTGTTTTCCTGACTCCTCCCTGCCTGGTTTTGTAGGGGCAGAGTAGTTTCAAATGGATTTTAGTGACCGTAAAAGATGCTTTAAGGGAGAGGTGATAAGGAAACCACTTCACCCATTGGGGTAAAAGGCAGTTTGGTTCTGATAGAATCCCATAATGGTTTGGGTAGGAAGGCACCTTAGGGATCATCTSTTCCCACCCTCTGCCATGGGCAGGGACACCTTCCACCATCCCAGATTGCTCCAAGCCCTGTCCAACCTGGCCTTAGACACTTCCAGGGCTGGGACAGTCACAGCTTCTCTGAGCACCCTGTGCCAGGGATTCCCCACCCTCRTAGGGAAGGATTTCTTCTGTATAACTGACCTAAATTTCCCCTTTTTTTCAGGTTAAAAAAAAACAAACAAACAAACAAAAAAAAACAACAAACAAAAAAAAAACCCAACGAAATCAGTGTATCACTGTGTGGAGTATGGAGTGGTATCACTGAAAAACATAAAATCACTGCTGCTCTGTCTTTTAGATACACCCCAAAAATTGGATGTGGGAWACTGGAGATATCCTTTGGATGTTCTGCCCTGATCTCTCCATCCCCCCTCTCTGCTGTCTCAGGGGTACCATTCAGTGAAACACCGAGCCACCTGAGCCACCTGCTCTAGTGGACGGTGTCTCACGGCAGGGAGCTGGAGCTGAATGATCTTTTGGGTCCTTTCAGTCAGGAAACTTAACCCACAAGCACCAGAGGTTTATGTCCAAAAAGGAGACAGAGGAGTCCTGTAACTTTATTCTAATAAAGGGAGAGGTCACGGGCATTTCCCATGGGGTCTCTCAAACTGATAGAGGACTCCGCCTCCTTTTTATCCRATTTTCTTGGCCGCAGTTCCCTCTCTCTTTCCCCATTGGCTGAAATACTTGAGAGGTACAGATTTCCCCAAAAGCTTAATGCTAACCCTCTTTTAATATACATCCCCACCCTCTTTTAATATACATCCCCACTTTCTTCTTTTCCTCATGTCTCTGTTCTTCTTCATTAACGCAGTCTTGGGTCAGTCAATCAGTGGAATTCCTATGGAAATCCTTCCCGTTTTTTCTCCCATCTCCCACAATCAGTTTTATCTCACCAGCAGACTCACAGTTTGTTTGTAAAGACACTCCCTTSTCATTCCTTTGGTTTCCAATCCAAACCATTCGGTGGTTCCCGTAAACACCTCCCGTTCCACGCTCTGACAGCTCCTCTGGAACGGGCAGTGCCGGGCATTGGAGCGATCCCTGAAACGCCGGGCTCTCCAGCTATTCTTTAAGTGGCTCTGCTCTCCCGCCCCGCTGGGACAAAGGCAGMGTTTCAGGGAGTTAGAGAGGAGCCTCGGCCCGTGCTGGGCTCGCCTGTCYCTAATGTGCTTAGAAGGGCGGCATTAGGGGATTAGCGTGAGCGGAGCCGCTGTCGGCGAGGCGCAGGGCTCGCCCAGACTCAGCTGATTACATTAAATGGAGGAAAGTGCATTACCACGGGCTGCTGGCTGACATTTCCCCCCGCCCAGAGAGCGAGCACAGGGTTCCTGCAGCTCCTGTAATCCTTCTGCAATGTCCCTCCCGTGCCTTGTCCTTCTGTCRCCTGAGAGACGCGGTGACACTGAAGGACGGGAGCGACCATGGAAGAGGCAGCTCCCACTGCTGGGAGGCTGGAGCTGCCTCCGTGGATGCCTTCAGTTCATCAYAGAATCACAGAATGGTTTGGGTGGAAAAGGGCCTCAAAAATCATCTTCCAACCCCAGAGAGGGGCACCGGCTGCTGTCGAGCCCTGTAGTGTCAGTTTTCCCTTTCCACCTCAATTTTCCTTCTCCTCTGCCTTTATTTTAGGACCTGTTCCCCTGATATAGCCCTGGATACCACCTTGAAATACCTCCTTGGTGCTGAGGGTTACAGGGACATGCAACAACTCCAACCCTGGCACATCCACTTGGTACTTCGACACCATCACCTTTTTCTCCTGGTTCC